GATCTCCAGGTGGATTGCAAATGCCAACGAAGCTGCACAGTGGAAGGAAGAGTCCTCTGAACCATTTCACCAGGGAAGGCACCAAGGCATGGAGCAATGCTATGAGGTGCTGCAAGCTGACCCATGATACCACTGAGCACAAAGGCAAAGAAGCCTGACTCCCACTTTCCTGTTCAAACCCCTGGTTAACAATCCCAGTACTTCCCAGTGTCCCCAAGCCTCTCTGGCTTATCCCAGTGCTAGAGCGGTGAGAGTCTGTTGGGTGATATTAGGATTTTTCCCCCCCTAAAAGTGCAGTCATACCTTACGTTTTACTCGGGTTCTTTTAGTGTCTGTAGCTCCCCTCCTGGGCAGCCAGCAGTGGAGGACTCAAAGGGGCCCTGATCCTCTCACCTTCCACTTTATTTAGCATATGCGGTTTCAGCATATTGTTTGAGCCATCATAAAACAATGTCATCACCAGTGTGAAGAGCTTGAAGGCCACCAGGTGACAAGAGCATTTTAAGATGGCTCAAACAATATGCTGAAACCGCATACGTTAAATGAAGTGGAAGGTGAGAGGATCAGGGCCCCTCGAGTCAGCAACGTGGGACGTGGTTTGAACTTGTCCACAAAAGCATTTGTTGTCATTGCAAAGGCCCCATTGGTATTGGTTTAAGGCTCAGTGACCCTGTCCAGTTTGAAAATGGTTGAGAAGTGCCCAATAACGGCACGGCCGGTTAAATCCTGGTTGACTGACTGTAGGGTCAAAGATGATGCGGTGATTGATCGGTGCTTGTGCCGACCATTCTTTTTGCCTTCAAGCAAATAAGGAAAAGTCAAAGGATCTTGAAAGGGTGACCCATATTGATTTTTACTGGCTGGACCCTTTATTGAAGTAATCCTGACATCTCCAAGCATGAGCCGTGACTGTTGGCACTGCCCTTCCTTCCCTTGCTGCTGAAATGTCACTTCTCTTCCCTGGAAACACTGGGTGATTTTGTTTGGCTTTATTGATTGGGAGGGGTGGTAAAAGAAAATTCTTCATTGTATTAATTTTGTTTTTGCTCAGGATTTTCTATTTCATTTTTTTCAAATAAATGAGCTGACATTCTGGTTTAAATCTGTAATCATATATAACTCTCTGCTCTCAACCTCCCCCCACCCCCCCCAAGGGCTTCCTAGGCAATATGGCTGCTGCTCTTTGATGTTTTGCCGGCCTCTCTGCCCAAGCCTGCTTGGGCTTCTTGAGCAATGCTTTCCTTAGTAAAAATGACTTCTTATATCCTCTTGCTCTTCCTGGCACACCTCCTGTTCTCGGCTCCTGTCCCAAAGCTGTCTACCCAGGTTTATATTGTCCTCCAATACATGCTGGGAGTCTAAAGTGAAAGTCGCAGGAGCAATTCAATTACAGAAAGAATTGCATCAAATACATTTTTGTTGGGGCTACATTCAGCCTCTAAAAAGACTGATGCCACAGCCGACAATACTGCTCGATGCTTCTTCTAGATCCAGCTGTCGAGCCAGTTGCAAAGAACCGCAACCTTTGGTGGTGATGGTTGGTGATTTATAGTATTACAGATCTGGTCGACTGCAATGGCTTTACTGTTCCTGGAGTTCCTGTCCTACTTGCCAAGAAGGGATTTCCTTTGTCTTTTTGCCAATTCATTTGTTTGAGACCTGATCCAAGCCACTCAGAGTTTTTCCATTGGCTTCAGTGGATTTTGGGCTTGATCCGTGGTTTAGTTTTTCTGGAGCGCAGCTGACGTGCCAGGAGGTGAATGATGGGAGGTTTGAGAAGTGTCCTTAAGGGCAGCTTAAAGGAGATTCAGGTTTCAGTATATGGCTCTTGTTTACGTAGAAAGTGCTTGCGCCTTGTCTCTTCCCATGTCTTTCCCTAGCCTACTTCCTATAAGTTGTATGAGGTTTGGTTTGGGCTGAGCAGTCTCTCAGCACATAAAAGCTTTGGATACTAAGGGCTGTTCTGCAAGAAGCATGGTTAGATAACAACAGTTTCTCCTTCATTTTGTTTTCATCCACTCAGACCTTAGGAGTTTGTCAATTTATAAGCATGTGCCATGGGACCTTTGTTTCATTTGCTTTGCGCTAACTTTTAGTAGCGGATCTGGTGCATGTCAGGAAATACCTGTAATAGTCTGTCAGCCTTGGGATTTTCTTAGGCACCTACCACCGTATCGTCTCTGCATTTTATTACTAAGAACCCAGTTTACCATCTTAAGAATAAGACTTTCTCTTTTGCTTTTCATTGGTGTTTTTTGTTTAATAGTCCAATCCATTTGCAGGTGGTAAACCCCTAGCTAATCACAGCAGACAGATAGGGTGACAGGAGTAACTAGAATGCAATCCATCACCCTCCGTAGGCTACGTTTGCATCTGACATAGATCCTGTTTTTAAAAGCAAACATTTTTTGAACATGGTGGAAAACAGAGGTTCTGGTCTAGAGGGCTCTGAACAGGCCTCATTTTTTATATGTGAAGAACAGTGGTCGCCTTGCTCAGTGCAGAATTATTCAGGCTTGTGGGCTGTAATGATCTGCACACGTACTGGGTGCCTGATGATAAAATATAGCATTTCCTTGGTTCCTCAGGGCTGGGCACACCTAAGCAATTGCTTTTGCATTCTCAGTGTGGTAGCTGCTGCTGGGAATACTAAACACCTGCACCGTCTTCCCGTCCCAATTTAGATGTGGTATGCCATTGGTTTACTTCGTTTAAAATCAATCTTCTTGCATACGGGGTCTGAGCCTGCAAATACTGCTGGGCACAAGGACTTGAGCTGAAGCCAATAGAAAGACTGGCACTAGTTTCGGGGGGGGGGGGGGCGTCCATGGATCCTGTTTGAGTAGCTCTGTTTGGATGGGGGGGCTGAATACAAGTGGCCGAGGGCTGGAGTAGCAGCGACGCTGCACGCCAGAATTAGCTCTCTGAGCTCCTAGTGACCGACAATGCACTGAGATCGGAGCCCGGACTTCCCGATTCAGAATCCAGCCTGCCACCGTGACCCCCGCGAAACACCCGCAGTGGTGCCAGATCGCACGATTCATTGGGGGTCTCATGATGTACGCCCGGTGGAAGGGGGGTGAAATCTAAAGAGGAGTATAGCTCCTCTGCTCGGGCCTGTGGGCGAGTTGTTAGGAAGGCCAAGGCGAACATAGAGCTCGGATTAGTGTCCAAGATTAAGGATAACA